GGGTTTGGGGTTTAGGGTTTATGGTTCAGACCCTAAATCCGAACCTCTACGCGTCCTCAAAGCCCGACTCCTCAAGTCAAAGCTAAGCCATTTAAACCGCTAAATCCGGAGACGCTTAAATACCCCCCAAACCGACCCCAAACCCTAAACCCCAAATCCTAAATCCCTAAACCCCAAACCCTCTAAACCCCAAACCCTAACCCCAAATCACAAACCCTAAACTCTTAAACCGCAAACCCCTTAACCCTCAGCCAAAACCACAAACCCTCAACCCTGAGCTACCCTAAACCCCAAATCCTAAACCCCTAAACCCCCAAACCCCCAAACCCTAAACCCTAAACCCCAAACCCTACCTCAACCCTAAACCCTCAACCCTAAACCCAAAACCCCAAACCCTAAACCCTAGACTAGGTAAGGAACAAGGGGTAAGGATTAAGGAATAGGGAATAGAGAATAGGGAATAGAGAATAAGGAATAAGGAATAAGGAATATTGAATAAGGAATAAGGAATACAGACCAAGATCCTCACCAAGGCCACGGGTCAAATAATACATAAAGGGTTCTCTTACAAGCAGTGTACCCCTTAAGTTTTGGAAAACAAAGCTCCCAAAATGACAAATCGCAAGCAGTGTCCCCCGCAAATTTTTGAAAAACTGAGCTCCCAAAATGACAAATCGCAAGCAGTGTCCCCCTCTAAGTTTTTGGAAAACCGAGCTCCCAAAATGACAAATCGCAAGCAGTGTCCCCCTTAAGTTTTTGAAAACTGAGCTCCCAAAATGACATATCGCAAGCAGTTTCCCCCCTTAAGTTGTTGGAAAACTGCGCTCCCAAAATGACATATCGCAAGCAGTTTCCCCGTAAGATTTTTGGATAACTGCGCTCCCAAAATGACAAATCGCAAGCAGTGTCCCCTTTAAGTTTTTGGAAAAATGCGCTTCCAAAATGACAAATCGCAAGCAGTGTCCCCCTTAAGCTTTTGGAAAACTAAGCTCCCAAAATGACAAATCGCAGGCAGTGTCCCCCGTAAGTTTTTTGGAAAACTGCGCTCCCAAAATGACAAATCGCAAGCAGTGTCCCCCTTAAGCTTTTGGAAAACTCAGCTCCAAAAATGACAAATCGCAAGCAGTGTCCCCCGAAAGTTTTTTGGAAAACTGCGCTTCCAAAATGACAAATCGCAAGCAGTGTCCCCCTTAAGCTTTTGGAAAACTAAGCTCCCAAAATGACAAATCGCAAGCAGTGTCCCCCGAAAGTTTTTTGGAAAACCGCGCTCCCGAAATGACAAATCGCAAGCAGTGTCCCCCTTAAGCTTTTGGAAAACTGAGCTCCCAAAATGACAAATCGCAAGCAGTGTCCCCCTTCAGTTTTTTGGAAAACTGCGCTCCCAAAATGACAAATCGCAAGCAGTGTCCCCCTTAAGCTTTTGGAAAACTCAGCTCCCAAAATGACAAATCGCAAGCAGTGTCCCCCGCAAGTTTTTTGGAAAAATGCGCTTCCAAAATGACAAATCGCAAGCAGTGTCCCCCTTAAGCTTTTGGAAAACTAAGCTCCCAAAATGACAAATCGCAAGCAGTGTCCCCCGTAAGTTTTTTGGAAAAATGCGCTTCCAAAATGACAAATCGCAAGCAGTGTCCCCCTTAAACTTTTGGAAAACTAAGCTCCCAAAATGACAAATCGCAAGCAGTGTCCCCCTTAAGTTTTTTGGAAAACTGCGCTCCCGAAATGACAAATCGCAAGCAGTGTCCCCCTTAAGCTTTTGGAAAACTGAGCTCCCAAAATGACAAATCGCAAGCAGTGTCCCCCTTCAGTTTTTGGAAAACTGAGCTCCCAAAATGACAACTCGCAAGCAGTGTCCCCCTGTAAGTTTTTGGAAAACCGATTCAGGGAGGACTGCTCAGCTAGGGGTTAGATAGTTTAGATAGTTTAGATAGTTCAGGGGCTTCCTGAACTATCTAAACTATCTAAAGTATCTAACCTCTGGCTGGGGACGACCCAGAGGGAATTGAAACTTTCTAAACTATCTAAACTATCTAAACTATCTAACCTCCGTTTTTCCCAAAATCGAGGTTAGATAGTTTAGATAGTTTAGGGGCTCGTCTAAACTATCTAAACTATCTAAACTATCTAAACTATCTAAACTATCTAAACTATCTAACATCCTTTTCTCCCAAAATCGAGGTTAGATAGTTTAGATGGTTTAGATAGTTTAGATAGTTTAGAAAGTTTCAAACCTCCTGGGGGCCTCCCCGGAAAGAGGTTAGATAGTTTAGATAGTTTAGATAGTTCAGGGGCTTCCTGAACTATCTAAACTATCTAAACTATCTAACCTCTGGCTGGGGACGACCCAGAGGGAATTGAAACTTTCTAAACTATCTAAACTATCTAAACTATCTAAACTATCTAAACTATCTAACCTCCTTTTTTCTCAAAATCGAGGTTAGATAGTTTAGATAGTTTAGGGGCTCGTCTAAACTATCTAAACTATCTAAACTATCTAAACTATCTAACCTCCTTTTCTCCCAAAATCGAGGTTAGATAGTTTAGATAGTTTAGATAGTTTAGATAGTTTAGAAAGTTTCAAACCTCCTGGGGGCCTCCCCGGAAAGAGGTTAGATAGTTTAGATAGTTTAGATAGTTCAGGGGCTTCCTGAACTATCTAAACTATCTAAACTATCTAACCTCTGGCTGGGGACGACCCAGAGGGAATTGAAACTTTCTAAACTATCTAAACTATCTAAACTATCTAACCTCCTTTTTTCCCAAAATCGAGGTTAGATAGTTTAGATAGTTTAGGGGCTCGTCTAAACTACACAAACTATCTAAACTATCTAAACTATCTAACATCCTTTTCTCCCACAATCGAGGCTAGATAGTTTAGATAGTTTAGATAGTTTAGAAAGTTTCAAATCTCCTGGGGGCCTCCCCGGAAAGAGGTTAGATAGTTTAGATAGTTTAGATAGTTCAGGGGCTTCCTGAACTATCTAAACTATCTAACCTCTGGCTGGGGACGACCCAGAGGGAATTGAAACTTTCTAAACTATCTAAACTATCTAAACTATCTAAACTATCTAACCTCCTTTTTTCTCAAAATCGAGGTTAGATAGTTTAGATAGTTTAGGGGCTCGTCTAAACTATCTAACCTATCTAAACTATCTAAACTATCTAAACTATCTAAACTATCTAAACTATCTAGACTATCTAAACTATCTAACCTCCTTTTCTCCCAAAATCGAGGTTAGATAGTTTAGATAGTTTAGATAGTTTAGATAGTTTAGATAGTTTAGATAGTTTAGATAGTTTAGATAGTTTAGATAGTTTAGATAGTTTAGATAGTTTAGATAGTTTAGATAGTTTAGATAGTTTAGAAAGTTTCAGACCTTCTGGGGGCCTCCCCGGAAAGAGGTTAGATAGTTTAGATAGTTTAGATAGTTCAGGGGCTTCCTGAACTATCTAAACTATCTAAACTATCTAACCTCTGGCTGGGGACGACCCAGAGGGAATTGAAACTTTCTAAACTATCTAAACTATATAAACTATCTAAACTATCTAACCTCCTTTTTTCCCAAAATCGAGGTTAGATAGTTTAGATAGTTTAGGGGCTCGTCTAAACTATCTAAACTATTTAAACTATCTAAACTATCTAACCTCCTTTTCTCCCAAAATCGAGGTTAGATAGTTTAGATAGTTTAGATAGTTTAGATAGTCTAAACTATCTAAACTATCTAACCTCTGGCTGGGGACGACCCAGAGGGAATTGAAGCTTTCTAAACTATCTAAACTATCTAAACTATCTAAACTATCTAAACTATCTAACCTCCTTTTTTCCCAAAATCGAGGTTAGATAGTTTAGATAGTTTAGGGGCTCGTCTAAACTATCTAAACTATCTAAACTATCTAACCTCCTTTTTTCCCAAAATCGAGGTTAGATAGTTTAGATAGTTCAGGGGCTTCCTGAACTATCTAAACTATCTAAACTATTTAACCTCCTTCTCCAAGAAAGGAAAGTAATCACATAGTACCTAAAGGTCCCTCTTACATATATATATATATATATACAGCATGTCGAACTCATACCCTTTGGGCGATGTGTTTTTGGCATAGCGCGGCTCTTCTAAACATCTGACACGTCGAGGTTGTTCCTAAACATGTGCTTGTAGGTCATGCATACAACACGGTAAACATCTGCACACCAAATGATCAGCGGATGCCTCCGCCGCATAGCTTCAGGCCAGTACGAGGCCGCAAAGCTTGCGCTGTCTTGGGCCGAGGTTCTCGAAACAGCAGATACGGTACAAAAAAGGCAGAACACACACAGCAGCTGGCCAAAACATTACCTCGAACCGGTTGATTGAATCGAGCCTATCTGTTGGGAATTGTCCCCAAGGAAGGGGGGGGACCCTAAACCCTAAACCGGAGGTTCTCAAACATCACCCTGTGCTGCCGCAGTCGTTTCTTTTTCTCTTCGCCGGCCGGCAGGGGACCTCCATGAATGCCGCTCGCGGTTTAGAGCTTAAGGTTTAGGGTTTAGGGTTTAGGGATAGGGTTTAGGGCTTAGAGTCCTTTCCGCAAGCGTGTGCGAAGATCATGATAGCCCAAGCCTGGCATAGTAAGCGCTCCAATACTCCTTCTAAATACTGCCCCGGTCGTGTAGCACCCAGACACAAATGCGCATGGAGCTCGTATCTAGCATGAATACCTCTCTAATTTCTAGAGGGGTTCCTTTCTAACGTGCCGCAATGTATATAGGACCCAAAATGGACCCTACTAGACCCACGAGTAATCTAGGAATAAAATGGGTGCCCTTTTGGTTTACAGGGGCATAGAAGGGAACCCAAACCTTCCCAAAAAAGGGGAATAAGGGCCCCTACTCTGGGTCCTAAACCTGAACCCTAAACCCTAAACCCTACACCCTAAACCCTAAACCCTAAACCCTAAACCCTAAACCCTAAACCCTAAACCCTAAACCCTAAACCCTAAACATGCTCGGCAAGCCCCTCTTAGGCTCAGCGGCCGTTGCGCTCAGCCTGGTCACGCTGGCGGTACCAGGTCAGCAGGTCGGTCGGTGCCTCACATTTTTCTGAGGGTTTAGGGTTTAGGGTTTAGGGTTTAGGGTTTAGGGTGTGGGTTTTCTGGCTTGACGCGGGACGTTCTACTTCAAGCAAAGTATACATGTCTCGAGGGGCTGGGATGTTCCCCCTTATACTAACAGTCCTTCATAGGGATTATGATCGGGTGTACTAATATCCCGATTAAGGAGTGCCAGTATCAGGGGGAACATCCCCAGAAAAAGGGCCTTATAAGAATTGGAATAGGTGTTGTTTAAACATTTTTTGGGGGGGAGGAGGGGGGGGTGTATTATAGTGCAGTTATATAGGGACCCGAAGAGAATACTATTACTAATTACCCAAAGAGCCCAATACCCCGTAATTAAGGAATATGCCTAAAACCATATTATGGATCTCTGGGTTATAAAGTAAGGTATATTCCTGAATTCAGGGGTCTTGGGCTCTTTGGGACCCTAAACCCTAAACCCTAAACCCTAAACCCTAGAACCCTAGAACCCTAGAACCCTAAACCCTAAACCCTAAACCCTAAACCCTAAACCCTAAACCCTAAACCCTAAACCCTTCCGACCCCCCAAAACTTACGCGCCTGTGCGAAGACCGCCTCGCCCATGCTGGGCATCATAGGCTGGTCGAAGTGGGCTCTGAACTCCTCCAAAAGGTACCTCAATCTGTTTAGGGTTTAGGGTTTAGGGTTTAGGGTTTAGGGTTTAGGGTTTAGGGTTTAGGGTTTAGGGTTTAGGGTTTAGGGTTTAGGGTTTAGGGTTTAGGGTTTAGGGTTTAGGGTTTAGGGTTTAGGGTTTAGGGTTTAGGGTTTAGGGGAGTCGAGGAGTAGCTATACGGAAGCGTCTTCCAAAGAAGGCTTCTTCAGATCACCAAGGTGCCAGTAGCCCTAAACCCTAAACCCTAGTTTCACGAACGCCAAGGCGCCAGTGGCCATCATGCGCCAATCGGAAGTCGGCGGGTCGGCACTCCCTGATTCTCCTGTCCTCCACAAAAACAATTTAGACCCTAAACCCTAAACCCTAAACCCGAAACCCCAAACCCTAAACCCTAACCCTCCAACAGATTGAGGTACCTTTTGGAGTAAGTAACCTAGGAAAGAAAAGGTTGCCCTTCTTGGGCTCTGAGGGGCTTATTAGGGAACCTAAGCCGCAAAAAAGGGAATAAGGGCGGGCCTACTCTGGGCCCTGCCCTAAACCCTAAACCCTAAACCCTAAACCTTAAACCCTAAACCCTAAAAAATGGGAATAAGGGGCTACTCCGGGTCCTAGTGATTGGGTTCAGGGTTTACGGACCCCAGAGTTGAACTTTTGCCGACCCTCGAGTTGATGCCCCCTAGGGTTTAGGGTTTAGGGTTTAGGGCTTAGGGTTTAGGGTTTAGAGGCTTAAGAAACCAACACCTACCTATGCTGTAGGTTTTTGCTTTAAAGCCCCGCTATAGGGTTCCCAGGTAACCTGAAAAAAGTAGATTTTGCGTTCTTAAGGCAGGCCTTCAGCCCCAAAAGTGTCTTCTCAAGATGGGTGATCCTCAAGAGAAGGTCCCGCGGGATTTTGCTTTCTAACGCGTCATCCCTTAAAACAGCGAAAGCTGCAACCCATGTCCTCCAAGACGCTGGGATCCTCTTGGCTCTTCTTCTTGTTCTTCGAAGACATCCAGGATTCGGCACCTTTGCAACGGTTCCTCGGATTCTTGCACCAGTTAAACCACTCTGCCATGGTGTAGCCGTTGCGCCTTTCATTCTCAGCACAGATCAGGCTTGCCCAGCGCTTTTGGGGGAACTTGATGTCGAATTGGAGCTCGCTGTACCTGTATCCGTCATACACGCGGATCTCGATGCCACCTTCGCGACGGTCCTGGTTCAAGGCTTACGGAGTGGGAGAGCACCAGCACACCTACTGCGTAGTACAGGGTACAACATACGTCAAAATTGGGGCCCGCCATCGTCCGCCCCTAGAATCAGGATCCCTAATTTGGAGAAGTACCCACTAAACCATAACACCTAAACTCTAAACCCTAAGCCCTAGGCCCTAAATTGGGCCTCCTGCACATGAGCTGCGATCTCTTCACGAACCTCTTCGCGATCGATGAGGGCTCGCTCGGCCAAGGCCCCTCCACGCAATGAGACTGACACAGACTCCCCACTGAGCCCAGTACCCCTGAATTAAGGAATATACCGTAAATCATATTCAGGATCTTTTTATAAATAAGGCATGTTCCTTGATTAAGGGGTATTGGGCTCTTCGGGTACTCTGTATCTAGCGTCGAAACTCCCAGATGCATGAAAAGGCAAACTCAACTGACATCGAGAGTACGCCGAGCCACCTCCCCACAAAGCCCAGAACTGCAGCGTCACCACTGCACCAGGAAGAACGGAGCAGCGAAGAAGAGCCGACATGATGTATCCTAGCTGGTGTGTTCGTCAAAGGACGGATTTGCTTTCAAGCCTTGAGCAGAAAGAAGCCACTGGGACCGAACAACCCTCTTATCCTGATTCAGCAAGAAAGTGAATCTAATCTCAATCCTATTCGAAATGTTGTACGATCTGTCTTTCCAAAAGCAGAAAAGATCATTCACCGATCTTTTCTTGTCGATCAAAATAAGGTGACATAAACAATCTTAATGGAAGTGGAATGTTCTCGACAAAAGAAAAAACCTTTAGAAGATAAAGACACAAACATCTCGGTATTTCCTGCTTTGCCTATTTCTAGAAATAACAACGAATCGCTTCTAGTTCTCTGTTTGGTTAACGTTACAAGTCTAGGAATTCGGGGCTTCGTGGCCCAGGAACCGTCTTGTGAATAAGGGCACCCTATTTTCGGTTGGTTACTTTATCAGAGAGCCCAGAACCAAAGAAAGGGCACAGGGTACCACTGGGCTACCAAGGGGGTTAGGGGCTTAGGACTCAGGGTAGTATAGACTTTTTCTGAGCCGTGCCAGCGAGCGAAAGTGCCAGCGAGCGAAAGGCAATGCTGCAAGGCAGCTTAAGAGATTGCGGGGTGACACTGGCCGCAGAGGGGCCCTTTGGTGGTTCAACTTGGGTGTAGGTTTCGGATTTAGGGTTTAGGGTTAGGGCTTGCGGGTTGGGATGTTCCCCCGTTATACTATAGTACCACCCTAAACCCTAAACCCTAAACCCTAAACCCTAAACCCTAAACCCTAAACCCTAAACCCCAAACCCTAAACCCTAAACATCGAATCCCTATTTAGGATTAGGACTGTTCGTATCAAAGGGGAACATCTCCAGGTTCAACGTGAAAACAGGCCGTGGTCTCTACGCAGCCGTTGTTCTACCATTTGCTGAAGAACCCCAAAAGAATATGAAAAAATGAAAATCCCTATTTTAACCCTTAAATAAGGAAGCATAATTATTACTTGTTTTTTTGTTGGGGGGGAACCCTAAACCCTAAACCCTAAACCCTAAACCCTAAACCCTAAACCCTAAACCCTAAACCCTAAACCCTAAACCCTGGGTCCTTAAGCAATTAGTAGTGTTGTGGCTAACGCATCCTGCGCAGCCCAAGCCTTCAGGAACACCCCCTCGTGCTTGGCTGCTCCGTTCGCTCCGGTGCTCTGAAACGTTTGAGCAACAGGTTTAGGGTTTAGGGTTTAGGGCTTCTAGGGTTTATAGGGCTTAGGGTCTAGGGGTTAGGGCCTAGGGTTTAGGGGTTACGGTTAGGGCCTAGGGTTGAAAAAAAGGGTCTAGGGTTCATGGTCTAGGGTTTATAAGGGCTGTGTGTACTCTAGACCTTATAACCCCTAGGAGCGCCCCAGCGGCTGCATCAGCAAGGCGTCAAAAGCCTCGGAAGCCTTCTGTTCGTACATCCTCTGCTTCCTTGCTTGGGCCCCTTAGGGTTTAGGGTTTAGGGTTTAGGGTTTAGGGTTTAGGGTTTAGGGTTTAGGGTTTAGGGTTTAGGTTTCAGGGTTTAGGGACAGATATTCCCAAATCAGATGCTCTTGGAGCCACATGTAGACAAAAAGATGGAAACAAAAGCAAACGACTCCCAGGGATTGATCAGAAAACCTATACACCCTAAGCCTAAGCATATAAAACATCCCAGGGCCTCCCTAAACCCTAAACCCTAAACCCTAAACCCTAAAACCCTAAAACCCTAAACCCTAAACCCTAAACCCTAAACCCTGAACCCTAAACCCTAAACCCTAAACCTGCCTAGCTTCGAGTTTCTCTGTTGCTCCGGAGATGGGTCGCTTGGCGGAGGCGGCTGGGTCCCAGCACCCTCGGGTGCACAACCTGCGCCTAGGTTGGAGGTTCATGGTACTTAGGAATCGGGTGTAGGGTTTAGGGTTTAGGGTTTAGGGTTTAGGGTTTAGGGGTACTGATTAGCCAACTATGACTACACTTATAACTGTAGTTATAACCCTTTTAGGGCACTTAAGGGCCTTATGAGTGGGTCATAAGTACAGTTAAAATTGGTTAAGTACCATGAACCTCCAAGCAGGTTGGTCTTTGAGAAGCAGGTCTGTGAGAGGAACTCTACTGCAAAGAAGGTTTGGAGGTTACAGAGAGAGAGAGAGAGAGAGGGAGCGGGCGAGACAACCCTAAACCCTAAACCCTAAACCCTAAACCCTAAACCCTAAACCCTAAACCCTAAACCCTAAACCTAACAATAGGGCTTCGGGTAAACCTGACTCGCAGGTGCAGGACATGCATTCAAGACGCATCCACCAGGGCAGCCTCCCAACCCATACCTAGGCTGCTCAGGAAAATGGTTTAGGGTTTAGGGCTCTGGCATGTGTAGCAGGGCTTAGGGTATAAGGTTTAGGGTTTAGGGTTTAGCGTTAAGGTTTAGGGTTATCGTCCGTCAAAAAAACAGGCCTACGTGCCCAAGGGCTCCACGGGCCTATATGACATTTTACTTGGGCCTTAGGGTTTCGGGTTTCGGGTTTAGGGACAAGCTTACAATGTTGCTCTATAGGACACTAGGCAGTGTCGTGGGATGTGTATGCAAAGGTAGCATGGCAAGCTCACACGACATCGTGATGAGTTCCAACTTTCACACTCTCTATGTCTCTCCATCTATTCTTTAATGTGTATCTACATGTGTATACATCTTATATACACAGAAATGTTGCTCAAAAAACAGCAAAGATATCACTGATTTGCAAAAGTGGTTCACTCTATGTGCGGCCCAAAACGCCCTGGGCAGCCTGCACAAGGAGCGCAGCCACAGCCGCATGCTGCTGGAGCGCCAACTCCTCCACAACAGCCCTGTCCAGAGCCACAAGCAGCGCTACCCCCGCAGGGACAGCCGCCACAACCTGCACATCCAGTGCAACCACCACAGCAACCACCTGCACAGCAGCCACTGCCGCAACAGCCGCCGCATCCGCAGCCACCGCATCCGCAGCCACCGCATCCGCCGCATCCGCCGCATCCGCAGCAGCCTCCGCAGCCGCCGCAGCCGCCGCAGCCTCCGCAGCCACCACAACCGCAGCCACAACCTCCGCAACCGCAGGTTCCGCCGCAGCCGCCACAGCCGCCGCAGCCACCGCAGCCGCAGCCACCACAGCCGCCACAGCCGCCACAGCTGCCACAGCCGCAGCCGCCACAGCCGCAGCCTCCGCAGCCGCAGCCTCCGCAGCCGCCGCAGCCACAGCCGCAACCACAGTTGCCACCAGAAGCTCCGCACGCAAGATTTCCACTGCAGGACCCACAGCCACTGTAGCCTGCGCAGCCACCTGCACACCCTGGCCCTGTACACCCGCACCCACATCCCGCACATCCCCCGCAGCAGCCGGTGCCGTCACCGAAGCCACCCCCACCAGTACAGGCGCCGCAAGCGCTGCCGCAAGAGGGGGCACTGCCACCGCAGCCACCGCAGTCAGCGCCGCAGGCGGTGTAGCCACCAGGGCAGGGCGCAACTCCTTGCAGAGCTATATACATGTGGCCAATAACACGTACTTCCCAAATCCGGGGTACCACCCCCAAAGCACCCGAAAGACTTTAGTCCTTGTTATAGGAACCCTGAGGACCCTGGGGACCAAATTAACCCTAAAATAGAGGTCCTATACCCTATATCTACTATCATTCCTATTAAGCTATATGAACCATAATCCCTTTTAGGCTTAATTTTGTCCTCAAGGAATATGTAGCCTGATAAAGCAGGCTTGTTGATCATTTTGTTCCACAGGATTTCTCATCAGGGATCCTCTGGGTTTAAACGGCTTCGGGTTTAGGGTTTAGGCATACAGGATGTAACTTCGTATCCCCGATTCTCTATAAGGTCTTGGGCAGAGGGAACTTGGCATGTAGGTGAAAGGCTTCGGCTTCCAACTACCCTAAGCCCTAATCCATAAACCTTAGGCCACCTGCCAGTCTTTTCTACAGGGTGTCTAGGTCTGTGCAGGAGAAGTCGATCGCACTACCCTTGTCCAGGGCACCCACAATCCGACTCTGACCCTGCAACCCTAAACCCCCCAAATCCAACGCCCTTAACCGTTTAAACTTTATCATTCCTACAAAATATGGACACCCAAAAAGTTCAAAGTTCAACTATCGGCTAAGTAAGTAGAGCCCTCTTCGCTAAGCAATGCTGACTAAACCCTAAACCCTAAACCCTAAACCCTAAACCCTAAACCCTAAACCCTAAACCCTAAACTTCCTAAACTTCCTAAATCCTAAACCCTAAACCCTAAACCGGTGATCTCTCGTCGACACCGACCTCCAGCAGAGGGAAACGATGGCCGTGGCCTGCTGTAGCAAATCGCCATCTACCCCAAGGGTTTAGGGTTTAGGGTTTAGGGTTTAGGGTTTCGGGTTTGGGGTTTCGGGTCCCAAATACGCCTTAGTTCAGAAATAGACTTTAATTTATACAGCGACCTGTAATGTGATTTAAGCTATGTTCCTTAATTAAGGGGTATGGGGCTCTGTAGGTATAGGTTAGGGTTTAGGGTCTACAGTTCAGTGTTCAGCAGAGTAGGGTGTGCAATTCCCAGGGCTCGCAAGTGAATTCGGGCTTGCATGCGTACATTGGGGTTTAGGTTTACGAGCGCACACGCTAAACCTGCCGAAATTTCATCTCGACGCCTTATCCGCCCAGAGACCATCCCTAACCCCTAAACCCTAAAGCCTAAACCCTAAACCCCTAACCCCTAAACCCTAAACCCTAAGGTTCTTGGGGATGTGATAGTTTATGTAGTTCTTATCCCTCCAAGGAAAACCCAATACCCAAAATCCCCGCATGCAAGCCGCCTACATGGGGGATTCCGAAATGAGGGGCACGCATTTTATACCCCACATAGAGTAAAATCCCCTTAAAGGGACCCCCAAGACGGGTACCCCTATTTTCGGAAACGCCCATGACCTCTACTTGGAGGTTCATGGTACTTATTAACCAATTCTTAGAACTTTACTTATAGCCATATAAGGGCACTTAAAGGGGTTTACAAGTGAGCTTATAAGTGCAGTTATGATTGGTGAATAAGTACCATGAACCTTAAAGTACTCTTGTTGGACTTTGTGTGGCAAGTCGGGCTTTTGCATCCACGCCCTCAAACTCAGTCGGAACAATGGCATGAAGCGATGGACGCCGCAACATGATGTCAGGGGGTTTAGGGTTTCGGGTTTGGGGTTCTAGGGTTCGGGTAAGTTCCGAGCTACACACAACCTACGGCAGGCGCTGGGCAGAGTGCCAAAATTGTTGAGGCACCTCAGCAAACCTGCTTTATGCAAAGATCGGCTATACATTCAGAAGTTCGAGGAGCAAGCAGTGCAAGCTCCCACTCATGTCAACTCCAGAACCACGGAGGAGGCATAACTAATGTTAGCAGGACGTTGTGTTGTACAAGCGTCCCGCCCTTGACAAAACCGTCACCTCCGAAATTTTCGTGGGCCTCATTGGGTAGTGAGTGCCACCCTGCTGGCACATTGCGCTCTCCTCATGCCCTCGTGTGAGATCACCTTCAGCTCCCTCCTTACGGTGGGTTGAGGGCTTTTTTTTAGGGGCGCAGCAATTGCGTGGCTTGGTGTATGTGTACGGATTTTCAGGGGACTCTGAAGGAGGGAGCTTCGGGATTTCAGGGTACCATGTGCTTCTGACGCAGGGGGTGCGTGTAGGGAGAGTTTGCGAAAAACAAAGCTCCGAGTCGCTCGTGACAATCCAGCTTCCTGCCGCCCTTCGGAGGCATCTGCATCGGCAACCACTTCATGACGGCCTTTGTCCTTGGCAGCCCAGCAGCCATATTATGACAAGGGCACCCCTTGTTGGGGGGGGGGGGGGGGGGTTGGTTGCTTTACAAGGGAACCCAGAACCCACCAAAAAAGGGAGAAAGGGTACCATGGAGCTACCAAGTGTCGAATCCAGCAGTGTCAGAAGATTGAAGAGGCTCATCAACAGGAAGCCCACCAAAGCAACACAAAGGAAGGCCGTGTCGCCCTGCCCGTAGAATACCATCATCGCATCGAGAGCTTGGGAGACCCACAGGTATCCACGCGTGCAGCATATAGCCAAGAACTGAATCAGGACGATGGCCTCCCCACAACATTGTGGATAACAAGGCATTCGGCTGTTCAGTTTTGGCGGGGTCTAGGGCTTCGGGTTTAGAGTTAGGGTAGGTGAGGCAATCCCGAGACGGACAAGCAGGACACATCAATCCCTGCCAGCCAAGAGAAGAATAAGGTGATTCCGGAGCATGGGATTAACAACAGGGAGCTTGCAAAGAACATGGAAAAGAGTTGCTGCCAGCTGCAGAACGGGAGCAATCGTTGGGCTGAACTGTTAATGAGACATATGTACTCTGGGCTTGAAGATCTAGGAATGGAGAACGGCGCGTGCTGGACGTGCAAGAGCCGAAGCCCACTGTGCCGGTTGTCTACCCCTAACATCGTAAACCCCCAAACCCCCCCTAAACCCTAAACCCTAAACCCTAAACCCTAAACCCTAAACCCTAAACCCCTTAAACCCTAAACCCTAATCCGCGCATCAGTTTAATTAATACCCCCACATTTAAAGAAGTTTTTTTGGCCGGAAGCCCACCGGAAGACTACTTTCCATTAGGTTGGATTTTGTATGGGACAAACCCCCCCACATTTAAAGGAGTTTTTTTGGGGGGTTGCAAAAATTTTGAAACTCAGCCTTTCGGAAAGCTTTTTTTGCTTCTGCGGGAAAGGACATTCTATACATTCCTATTGTTTTCAATGCATTCGTATTGTTTTTAAATAGAGAATCACTAATTCAATACAGGGCCATGGTCCAACTATTGCGGAACCCTGCCTTTCTCATTGTGGGGGGGGGGGGGGGGCCCCCCCCCCCCCCCCCCAAATTAAACAGAAGCTCGGATTAAACCCTAAAAACCCTATACCCTAAGAACTCGCGCCCGGCCTTGCACTGCAAGAACTCGCGCCGCGAGTGCTGCGTGTCCAGGGTCACCTTGTAGCAGCCCAGCAAGAAGGAAATGCCGCCGACCTCGGAGGGCCCTTGAAAGGTTTAGGGTTTAGGGTTTAGGGTTTAGGGTTTAGGGTTTAGGGTTTAGGGTTTAGGGTTTAACACTCTGAACAAAAACCTGAATACGATCCTCTTAAACCCAAAAAAGGAAAATGAAAAATGTCCCAAGGGTCTACCTAGCTACAAGGAGCTGCGAGCACATGATCAGGTGAAAAGCTCTCATGGAGGGGTAGTAGAGAAGCATCGGAACCGTGAGCATCATGGACAGCGTGTGATGCAAGCAGACCATGACCACAAAGTACTTGACCGGCACTTGCACGCCCAGACGTCTGAAGCTGCTGGGGAAGAAGGTTCGAAGAGTGATCTGTGCGGCGTCATAGACCGAGAACGCCACATCCCCCAACGCCCCGACATAGAACAAGCTCTGTCCGATGAACCCGGCCGCATCCCAGCCTACGAATTGCTTAAGAACCCCGAAAAAAAGATATTCTTCCTTGTTAAGGGTAATACAGGGATTATTATTTTCTTTTGGGTTTAGGGTTTAGGGTTTAGGGTTTAGGGTTTAGGGTTTAGGGTTTAGGGTTTAGGGTTTAGGCAGCCTAGAAGAGCCGCAGGAGCCAGAGCCATGCTCACCACAAGGTGGTGTGAGCAGATGGCAATCACAAAGCAGTAGTTGTCGACCACAACCCGTTCATCCGAAGTGCTGGCCTGAGGGTTTAGGGTTTACGGTTTAGGGTTTGGGGTTTAGGGTTTAGGGTTTAGGGTTTAGGGGTGCGGGCCTTGCTGTAGCCGAAGTTGTGCATCAAGCCCTGCTGGAGTGGCAGCATTCGGGCGCGCCAGGGCTGCTTGTCAACCCAGTCGATCAAGCGCGTCTTGATCAGCTCGACGACGCCTATCGATTGGGATGCTCCCCCTTTTGCCTAAACAGGCCGGAATAGGGATGGTAGTAGGGGTACGAGAATTTTCTATTAAGGACTGTGAGTATAAGGGGGGGAACATCCCAGCCTCTAGACAAAAAATGGCAAGCAGAAGTCAGGGTACACTACAGTCCTGTTCTCTTTTCGGCCTCGCGGCAAGCCAAAAAAACAAAAAGTTCCAACATCTGGAGCTGAGATGCAGCCAGTAAGGGCTGCCGTTGACACGACGAAGCTGAGGGCGAGCTTGGGGTAGGCCCGAGTCTGCTCAAGCAT